ATTTTAAATAAAACTGGATTGGGCTACCATATTTCAGAACAAACAAGAAAAATCAATCATCTATTATACATGGATGACCTAAAACTATACGCAAAAAGTTCCACAGAGATAGAATCACTGCTAAACACAGTGCAAATATTTAATAAAGATATCCAAATGAAATTTGGAATTGACAGATATGCAGCTCTGTCTATACACCGTGGCAAGATCCAAAAACTAGATGGAATAGAGTTAAAAATGATAATATTATAAAATCACTCTCAAGTGATCAACCTGTGGGAACATCAGGTAGAGAAGGTGCAGAAAATGATGAAGTCAAGATTTTGTGGGATTTCTGGATCCAAACGGATAGATACCTTGAACATAACACACCAGACATAGTAGTAATAGAACGAAGAAATGTCCGGATCATTGACATTGCAATTCTAGGGGATGCCAGAGTTGAAAATTAAGAATTGGAAAAACTAACAAAGTATAGAGAGACCTGGCAATCGAAACATCTCACCTCTGGAAGAAGCAAACCTCAGTGGTCTCCATAGTCATTGGGGCTTTGGGAACTATATCAAAAAACTTCACACAGTATTATAAGCAATTGCAGATCTCAGAAATCACACAGAGCTACAAAAAAGGGCAATATTAGGAACAGTATACATACTGTGCCAATATTTAACAGATTCTTAGGTTTTTGCTTAAAACTTGTATCTGTTTTATAATACCAGTCAATGTTTTTATAATTTTGACTGTGCCAGTTGTTTCTGAATAATAATGCTGCTGCTGCTGACAACAATGAGAGAGCCTCGTGGCGCAGTGGTTAAAACGCTGTACTGCAGCTAAAACTGTGCTCACGACCTGGGGTTCAAATCCCAGGTAGCCAGCTCAAGGTTGACTCAGCCTTCCATCCTTCCGAGGTCGGTAAAATGAGTACCCAGCTTGCTGGGGGGGCAATGTGTAGCCTGTATAATTACAAATTGTAAACCGCCCGGAGAGTGCTTGTAGCGCTATGGGGCAGTATATAAGTCCAATAAATAAAAAATAAAATAAATATGTTAGAACATTTGCTTCAATATGTATTTTTTTCGTGCACAGATCTTGTGCATATATTATGGTAAACTTACCATGGAGGTAATCAGCACCTGCTGTCCTTGGCTTCCCACATTCACACAATCAACTTAATGTGTGCAAGGAACTTACATGCATATAAATATGCACACAGGCAGAAACCCTATTCTTTTCTCTTCAAAGATCCTACTAGCATAGAAAACTCCATATGTATATAGTTGTGTCAGAAACAGCTAGGCACTCCTCTCCGACACTGTTTTGGATATATGCTAAATAAGAATTTTAGGGCTTATAGAAGAAACAGTTTTTTTTAAAAAAATAGCAGGCTTCATGAGTCCCTAAAATTCTTCTTGAAACCTGATTCAGGAGAACATCATCAGCATTTTGACTTCTGAGTATTATAATGAACTTGTGTATAGATCACTGAAGAGTATATTCAGCATAGATATCTCACTGCGTACATCTGGTGCATGCTGGTAACAAGGAAATTATGGCTTCTAGGGTTGTCAAGTCAGCACTTTTTCATTTCCTGACATTTCAAGGCCAAAACCAGAAACCAGGAATGGGTTGATGTCACAAAGGGGAGGATCTTGTGTATGCGTATTAATTACAAAATAATAAATATGGGTGTATATGAGTGGGTGAAATAACATGGGTTAGGAGATGTGCCATCAAGCACTGATGTGATGGAACACAATAAAATCAAAGCTTCTATTCTTCCAGCAGCATTCACTCTGAGATAGACTTCCTACCAGATAATCTAAGGAATTTAGCAATTCCCTGAGGTCTCAGCTGGTGCTCTCAGGAATGGCAACCCCAACAGTTCCCCTTCCATGAGGAAATCAGATACAATTAGTTACAGAAGGGGTGCACACACTTTTTGGGCTCAGATACCACATTAAATGAAAGCTTGGGCTGCAACTACTGTATAGCTACGCCCTCATATTTCAGTAATCCTGACACAGACTGCTTTTTGCTCAGTGATAACATAACAATGAAGTGAAAAAACGATCTGCATAAAGATTGTGATGGGAGAATCTGACAATCCTTTATTTACCAAAAATCTGGCAGGGGTGGTGGATATGACAGTGACAAAACTCTTAGCACACATCTGGGCGTTAGGATACAGCTGGCAGCCACAGCTTGGGGGGCTGGGTTGAATCTGGTTGTGGGGCCACAGATGAAATACCTCTAAAATTCAGCCATATATTTTCCATTCAGAATTTTGTACAATTTAAAATACTGTGACTCCTATCTAATTAAGCACAAATAAAGAGATAACAATGAGTTAACAGATGGAACATAAATATGAATGAATGGCCTTCTGCAGGCCAGTCAGCTTAATCTGAGCTCAGCCAGCAGTCCTCGATTCTACTGTAAACAAGGTTGCAGGCTAATAGGATTCAAAGGTCAAATGTAGAATCTCTGTTGATTTTCTTTTTGCACCATATTTCTAGAGAAGCCATAATGAATATATGCATAAGGAGAATCAACTACAGAGCAACACAGTTATCACTCTTTCTTGTATCACTGAGTATTGATCACATCTTATTAACATAACTGTATTTAAAACCTTCTCTTCTCTTATTATGACAGCTTAATAAAATGCTTTGTAGAATGTTATAATTTGACTTAGTGTCCAACATCATATTGTTTCTCTTGCAAAGAACAGCAAGGTTAAGATTGTATGATTATGTTCTAGAAGCTAATGAAGAATATGAATATTGCTTGTTCTGGGTTTTTCGGGCTCTTTGGTCATGTTCTGAACCATTAGATCTTGGCCGTGAAAGCCTTCGTGAATATAATATGAATATTTCCTCTCAAGAGGCTATTCCAAATAGTGATGTATTATTCAACTGTAATTTCATATAGATTCATAACATCACTGGTAATATCTTACCTTGAGGAAAGTATCTGAAGGCTGTTTGTCTGAATGGAACCTTGGTATTTGGTTTGGGGGGGTTGAGTGTGTGTGTGTGTGTGTGTGTGTGTGTCTGTCTGTCTGTCTGTCTGTCTGCCTGTCTGTCTGTTGACTTTGCAGCTCTGTGACTGTGGCCTAGTAGATGTGGCCTAGAATGAATGTTCCTAAACAGGACAGACAGCTATCACACCCATAATGAAAGACAAGGCTTAATATAAATGTTCTGTTTAACTGTGTGGAATTCAAATATTTATAGAATTTCTGTTTTGCAGAGATCATTCCCCCACCCCTCACTATTCCAATATTATTAAATGACTCCAAGTCCTTACTTGGATAGACTAATCCTCAAAACTATTGATCAATGGTATATTTCTAAGAGTCTTCCTAAAGTTCTTAGATTAATTTATTATTGTATTGCCCTCTAAGATCACATAGCTCTTACAACTCAGCTCAGATGTTCAGCCAGGTGTTTGCTGTTACATGGTGCTCATTTTTTTTCAGCATAATCTCACAATTCCCATTCTTCCCCATTGTTTTGCTTACTTCATGCAAAAGCCTTTAAAGATTCTCTGTGTTGGACAGACAATTTTCTGCAACATTTCGGAATAGAGATAAACTAGAGACTCTCAGCAAACTCCTTTTCCTGCTTCAGGTAGCAGCCTAGAGAGCTGCTACCTGAAGTGACTAAAATTATGTATTTCCCCAAAAAATTACATTTAAACAACAGATAAAATATATAAATTAAACCTAGCATCTAATATTTACTTCATCTCTCAAGGCTGCAAGTTCTTCAGGTAAATCCTCAAGGCGAGATATTAAGATATCTAGGGATATGCAGGGGGAAAAACTTTCAGTTTGCTTTCATTTTGAGTTCTTTCAGGGGGCTCTATTTTTGTTTGGGGTCCTTTCAGGTACAGGCCCTTTTGGTAAATCTGAAAATATTTAAATGATTTAGATTCTTGTGTTTCAATTTTCCCATCTGGGTTTCTGGTGCTAGAGTCAATTAACCCTAGACAACCCTCAAAACTAGTCCCCTCCCTCCAAAAACAAAAAACAAAACTCCAACCAACAAACAAAAACAACAACCAGGGACAAGGGAACAGATAGCTCAGTGCTTTAGGAATCTGGCTGTAGAGCCAGAAGCTAGGAGTTCAATTCCCCACTGGGCTTCCTTTACAGGGGCTGGACCTGATGAACCATAGCTCTGCAATTCTAAAATGATGATGATTACAGACAATCATCTATTCCAAAAGAGAGCAACAACAATACATGGGGTAGGAATCTATCATCCACAGACCTATTCAGGCACTAACAGTAGTTTATATCATCAGATCACCATTCCCATCATCTTCATCAGTTCATCAGCAGTACAGCACAGATAAGAAAGAGAAACCATCATCATGTTCATAACCAAAATAAAACACACACTCTCTCACCAAGGGGAATATAATCGAAACCCAAACTCAAACCCAAAATATGAGCAATTAAGGAGACAGCTGTTCTCCCTACTACTTCAGTGACTTCAGTCCAGCAGTGCAGGCTGTAGTCCATCAGATGAAAGGCATGTAGGTTGGCACATCAGGTGGCAATAAAAGAAATGGGGAAAATTTCTCCAAAATTAATTAAATAAAAGTAAGTAAGTAAGTAAGTAAGTAAGTAAGTAAGTAAGTAAGTAAGTAAGTAAGTAAGTAAGTAAGTAAGTAAGAAAGAAAGAAAGAAAGAAAGAAAGAAAGAAAGAAAGAAAGAAAGAAAGAAAGAAAGAAAAGCAAAGAATCCAAATAATCTAGAAAGTAATACAAAAATGGAGAAATAGCAGCAAGATTTTTTAAACCCCAAATAGAATCCCCAATGGAGGAACAGTATTAGCAGTATCAGTAACAGGCTAGCAAGGAATAAATCCAATCCAAAATGTAGGTTAGAGTAGCTCTTTCAGCAACAACAATGAACAAGTCGTTAAGCAGTTGAAGGGCAGCCACTCCAGTTTTCCAGGCTCTTTTAAAGATTCAAACTTCCCACTCACCCTTTCCATGATGTTCTTTGTATCCTAATTGGCAGCTGACAGCCCTCCTCATGAGACTTGCAGTGCTGCTACTTGCTGGAATATCAAATGAGGTGATTTTGCATAGATTGGTCATAATCCGAAATACTAAGTACAGTATGTAAGAAATCTGTTAGTTTTGTTAATCTCTCTTTTGGAATGCTGGTTATTTCATATTTTGGAGACTTTCTATTGTAAGGCTGCAAAAGTTTCAGAAAACAAAAGAGACCATTTAACCCCCCCCCCCAAAACTGAAGTCAATTCCATCTCTAGACTGTTAACCCTGAGCTTGCTAACCAGTTAATATGGCAACAAAGAGCCAGGAAAAACAAACCAAAAGAAATCCCATCTTTTTTCAGAAGCTGACCAGGAGACAAATGAGGCTGGTATCTGCAGTGGTTTGCCACAATTCCTACTAAGGTTTGCAACCTGCACTGCCCAAGGTTTAGAGATATCTCACACACAAAAATTACTTTTTCCTCCTCCAGTGCTGCTTGTCCTGACATCTATCTCCCTAGCTGGAGACGCGCGGGAACACAGCCATTACTTTAGACATTTGCTGGCACCCTGATACTTGGCAACTGTATTTGGGATCCAGACATTCCTTTCACTTTTTCAGATCATTAACAAGCCAATAAATAATAATGTCAAAATGGAGACAACTGTTAATTCTAATTTAGCGAAACTTCAAACTGTCCTGGCTTTTTAACTCCATGTCAGAAGCTAGTTTTATTTGTCAATTTTGCAATAAACATATGTATTATGGGATGCCCACAAGAGAAGCACAATTTTCAAACTGCTCTCTCATCAGAATGTAATGCTGTGTATAAACTAACAAGAGAAAAAAAATTCACTGACAAAATTACTTGACTCCTTGATTTATCCTCAGCACAAGTGGCAATGGTATTATCTTCCATTTCAGCAGACATGTTTATAAATATATTAGCTAGCTTGAAAAGAAGAATCATGATTGGCAAATATTTATCAGTGGATTCACTGAGGGACAGCTGTAGCCTCATTTGTAAAATTACTATGAATATTAAAAATATTATTGTTCTTTGATCTAGTTAATGCCCAATGTCATATTATCTTTCTAGAATAACAGCCATCCTACTAATGTTAATTTACTACTAATTTGCTGCAAAACTTGTTGCAGCAAATTATGGCTAACTGACAAATGCCAGGGTACTCCTTGGTTGTGCGCTTGGTCTGTTCCAAACAATAGAATGGGTTATAGTATAGAACTATTTTTTGTGTGTTTTGGTCAGCCGTTTTGAGTATGCTTTCATGAAAAGTAAGGTTAAATTCCA